AGACACTACACAATTTTCTAATCAATAAAGCGGACACTACAAAGTGTTGTAATGAAAAAAGCGGACACTACACAATTTTCTAATCAATAAAGCGGACACTACAAAGTGTTGTAATGAAAAAAGCGGACACTACACAATTTTCTAATAAATAAAGCAGACACTACACAATTTTGTAATCATCAAAGCAGACACTACAAAGTGTTGTAATGAAAAAAGCAGACACTACAAACCAAAGTGTGGGAAATAATTCCCCACCCAAATGCGCAGTGTGCCTGACATCAGTTGTGTCTGAAAAAAGTGTAACACTTTTCTTAATTAGGAAATGGCCCAATTAGGAAATAGTGCACACACCGTCATTAACAATGACCACACCATGCTAGCCATCAACTCTTCTGGCCCAAAAAGCGTGGGAAATAATTCCCCACCCAAATGCGCAGTGTGCCTGACATCAGGTGTGTCAGAAAAAAGTGTAACGCTTTTCTTAATTAGGAAATGGCCCAATTAGGAAATAGTGCGCACATCGTCATTAACAATGACCACACCATGCTAGCCATTAACTCTTCTGGCCCAAGAAGTGTGGGAAACAGTTCCCAACCTAAATGTGCACTGTGCCTGACATCAGGTCTGTCAGAAAAAAGTGTAACACTTTTCCCAATTAGGAAGTTGCCCAATTAGGAAATAGTGCGCACATCATCATTAACAATGACCACACCATGCTAACCATTAATTCTTCTGGCCCAAAAAGCATGGGAAACAGTTCCCAACCTAAATGCACACTGTGCCTGACATCAAGTGTGGCAGAAAAAAATGTAATGCTTTTCCCAATTAGGAAATGGCCCAATTAGGAAAAAGTGCACACATCAATGCATATACTACACATGGGTCAAACCCATTGGTAAATATCTGTCAACAAACATCCCAATGAGGGTATTCTGTCTACAAAATAATAGGTAAATCCCCTGTCCCCTATATTAAAAAAATCCCAAGTTTTTCTCTTAAATATAGGACCCCAG